GAGCTGTTGACAAATAAAGAGTGTTGCCATAGTGCAGGTTTTGAATTAGTCGTTCTTGTCAGAAATCGAAGACATGTATCATTTGGGTTTTCAGGTCGTCTCGACGGTAACCCCGAGCCGTCCAAACTAGCACCTTCGTCACCTATTCATGCCAGTGAGCCGCTGCAAATCCAGGTACTTCGCTGCATAATCATTCGCAAGAACCAAATCACCAGTCAAGTGCATAACTGTAGCCTTTTTCGCCATCATCTCACACTGCCCTTTGATATCCCCAATCTTTTCATATTGGTCGAAAGCGCAATCTAGGTATTCCAACGCTCGGTTCATATACTCCACGTTTTGTGCCGATCCCTGACTCCGGGCCTTCCCCGAAAAGCCCATGTTTGCATCCACTAGAAGAGAGTATGCCCGGGCTGCCAGAACACAGTCGCTGGATTCAAGTATCTGAGGCATTATACTCTCCATCATTGCCACGACCGCCTTAAATTCCCTCAGGCTGAGAAGGACTCCTGACAGAACGCAAATAGCTTCCCAAAGGCCAGGGAGCAGTCTTGACCGGTAGGCAATGTTGGCAGCTCTCATTGCCAAAGAGAATCCACGTTGGGGCTGAGAGGTCTTCTCTAGTATACAAGCCTTAAGACATAATAGCTTGACTTGACAGTGGACGTCGAAGTTGTCTCGGTGGATGGTCTGAGCTGTGCGTTCGACAATCTCCAATGCGCGGGTGTAGTTGCCCTGTCGGATTAAGTACTCAACGTGGAGAAAAACCAGAAGGGCTGCTATATCACTATCCGGGAGTTTTATTGCTTGGAGCTGCGAGAGGAGATATTCTGTGGCCGTTTTATCATTGCTGGTGAATGTTAGGGATGCGAAGTACAAGTATCAAGTCAAGTAACATACCGATATACTTCTCGTTTAAGCTGCAACACTCCAGAAAAGAATGTCCAGTATTGATTTGCTTTCAGGGAGCGTAGTTTGTCAGGCCCTATGTGATTCATACGAGCCGAGGCCTCTTTGAAACGACCTTGTTGTGCGAGCTTTGGGGGGTCAGCAACGATAGTCACAAATGCAGGTGATATCTACCTACCAATTGTGAGCCACGGAAGTTACTCTTCAGATAGTCTTCAGACGGTGCTTTACTTGCGTAACACTCCTGGAAAGTTTCACTGCTCAACCATGCCAAGTGTGTGATACCTGCTGACCATTAGCAAGAAGTACTCTTTCATTTCAGAAGCAGTAGTACCGATCCTAGCATAAAGTGCAGTTTGTAATAGTAACTGCGGTCCGGTTGAATTTATAAGGTTCTTGGCTACGTTGAGGTGCGATGCCCGGATTATGTTCTCGAGGGAAGAGGCAAGGCTCTCACCCTAAGGCTTGTCAGGGGAGCTAACGGAGAGAGGAAAGGAAAAAAAAACATACATTTTGCAGTTCGAGCTTAGCTTCACTCAGTAACGTTGTACTCAAGAGACTCCACATTTCTGTCTCCTTTGCTTTCGCCTTGAGAAATGCTAGGCCTTCTTTCTCATTCCCAAGCATGCCCGTATTTTGAACGTCCTTCATCTGCTCTGGGAAAGCTTTTCCAAAATGGTATAGCCAGCTCATGCAGAAGTTCAGGCAGTTCATATCGTGGGATTCCCTGGCAATCGAGACTGCCTCTTGCATCGCGGATACAGCTTCTGCATAACAGCCAAAGTCCGCTTGGAGGATGGCAAGATTTAGCAACGCGTACTGATATGAGCTCCGGTCTCTACTGTGCATTGTATAGTCGAAGTAACGGTGGAGGTTGTCAAAGGATGATGGATAATCTCCAGCCCTCCAAGCGTCCAAGAATCTAGACAATTAGTATTCATGACCGTTAAGCATGATGTAGTTCTCACCTTAAGTAGTGTATTAAATTGGGCAGTGTCACTCCAGATGTAATGATGCGTTCCAGGCATGCTTTCATTCCATCTGGCACTCTTCCTCCCATTCCTGGAATCGTTAGAAACGACCATCATTGGCAAAAGGGTTCGCATACTTTGCAACTCGCCTATTTGGAATTCCAGCAAGCGCTCTACGTCTTTCGTACTGACATGGTTATCCTCCTTCAAGTCGTGCTCAATATTACCATACGCCACCTGAGCAAGTTGACTACCGGTGTCCAAGCCAAGTTCAAGTAAGTTCATATCAACCATGGCCTGTTCACCAAACGGATTCCGTCTGGCCCAAGCGTGGTACGTGGGGAGGCGATACTTGACAAAGCCCTTCCAAAGCTTGACCGAGTCATGGAACTGCAGTCTTGTAAACTCAAGCTGGGCTCGCCTCACAAATGCACCCAGCGGTGAGCACCGAGAAAGGCGCATACATCCCAGCTCCGGGGCCAGGCCGTTGTCCCTATCGCGAATCTGATCCTCCCGAGATTTGACCAACAGATCTAATACATTGGAGAAAAATACTTCCAGTGCATCGCATGAATCAATAGACCAAACTTTTTTGAGGAATAAATCCCAGATTGAGCGTCCAGGGATTGAAGATGAATGCGTAGACAAAGCTCCCTCGAGGTCAGTTATGGATGCTGAGTATTGTGCCTCCCAGTTTTTGGTGGAGGCGCTTGGGTCACTATCCAGTGGACTTAAAGACGCGACCAAGAATGAAAGAACATGAACAGCAGAGGAATTGGGGACGACCCCTTCCGTGTAGATGGAGATCAGACATAACAATGCAACCTTGGATGGCGTGAGAAAGCGACTCATTGTGCTTATTAATGGTCTATTCCCTGTCCTAATGGCTGATAGTGTCAACTTTGATGGCAGGGTCAAACGCCGAATGTGTACTGGAACGCGTCAGGACAACACCCTCGGGCAGCCTTGAGGTGCGATGATGTGCCTGAAGACCGTGATAGATTAATCTAGTGACCCCACGGACTCGTTTGTCCCAAACCGGACGCAGTGCAGGCTACGCGGTATGAACAACGGCAGAGAAGTAAAACGTGGGGAGCATAGTAGCTTCCTGATAATATGTTTGAGGGTACTTGATTATCATTGTTTTACTTTCTTACCACATACGACCATAGGGTGTGGAGAACAGGGCTTCCCGTCCGCTCAGCCGTACTTAAGCCACACGCCGGGAGGTTAGTAGTTGGGTGGGTGACCACCAGCGAATCCCTCCTGTTGTATGTTTTTTTTGTCTTCCTTATCATTCATTTTAGGTCTTAAAATCTGTCATGATGATGGACGTACTCTTTAATCGTATAATTAATGACCTTCAATGGTTGGCACTGAGGCTGGGTGCTGGAACACGATTTCCAAACCACTTATCTTTTCTTGTTGACATCGAGTTCCTATACGTCTTACGTCTCTCACACTGTATAAATCACCCAATCTGGGAGCTCTATTAAAAGAAAAGGTTCACAGAGGATTACAATTATCATCACTTTACGCTCAGTGAGATAATCGGGATCATCCATATTTTTCTCTCTGTAGCGAGCAGGGCTATCGTATCTTCTTAAATGTACGGTACGTTCCTCAAGCCATCTACATCGTACTGCCACTTGCCTTTCACGCAACTATAAGTCATACGAAGAATGGGCGAATTAAACTCTGCATGGGTCAAGAAGAGCTTTTAATTGTTTCTCCGAAAAAATATAATGAATATTTTCCTAACCAGAGATATCAGTGTACTAGCATCTTACAGTCTACCAGAGGTGAATTGACTCCTGGCGAAGGCTGGCAACAACATCAGCGTAATGGGCTGTTTGCTAAACTGCTCCTCTTCGAGATATTTCTTGTGAATACCGTTACTTTCAAGTGAAAGACGCCAAAAAAAGAGCTATAAAAGCCCATTATGGACTAGCTGGTCTTGCTCCATGCCCTGTTTGTTGTATCAGCCTTGATTATCATTCGTGGCGTCTTTGTTCATTACATCTTTTAAGGGTACCGCGTGATATCTCACCAGCTACAAGACATATATATATATATGTGCTTGGCGCATTTTGGTAAACATAATTGTTATTATCTTCCTTTTTTTGGCATCGTTCGTATGGTGTATGTATCGGACCATAGAATATTCAATTACTTAACCCAATAAGCTTTCGATTGCTACGCTCGGTATTTACGGAACCCGCTATGCTCATTATGCAATCGAACTTCCACTTCTGCTATCCGAGAAATATCCTGATTGACAAGGAAGGTAGCTTTGGCTTCTCAGGACAATGTGTGAAGGTCCAATTGTCCTACCCTCTTCTCTCATTGGTGGCTAGTCGACTCTCACTGCACAGGAATCAAATGTATTTGGTAGGCCCTACGTGGACTCGCTGGCGCATCAAGCCAAAGGCTCGAAGTCCAATGTCTTTTATATTTGATAAAGAATTTAAATCGCGAGAGACCTCAATATGTACGAGTAAATCATTCCTGGTGGCAGATATATATGCATGTGAGTTCTTCCGAGATGGTTGTATTTCTGTTCTCCTGTGTGCCGAAAGTCATCAACAAACCTCTATACCCACCAGACCAATCAGCCTAGCAAAATAACACACCTCTTCACCTTATTCTACTCCTTTTAAGCTTTGATATCAGGAGATGGAAGCCTTCAGTTCAGGTATCTTTCGCGTCAATATTTGGTGCATAGTCTACAAACCCGGTATTTGGACCTCAGGCAGCCATCTGCCAAATACTGTAGAAGAATTATTGGAGCTCATTCGAGCCTTGATGAAGCAACTTCAAAAAAGCGGTCGAAAGCATACCATAAAATGAGAACCTTGCCAATGCTACTGTGCCCTAAAATTTCACCATAGAGAAGTGCGGGTTGCTCTGAGCTGTATCTTTGCTAAGTGTATCTAAGACGTATCTACCGAGGGACAAGTAATATACTAGATGCTCATAATCGGGGATTATTATAGACAACACTGTTAAAGTGACGTCACCTTTTCTTTACCCCACTTTTACGCTGTTTTTAAATGTATCTATTCCACTCTTCCAGATGCTTTTGATATCCATTCAACGCCCTTACAGCAGCCTCTCGTGATGCCGATCACCCACGTTGTTTTCTTTCAGTTTAAAGCGGGTATTAGCCCCGAAATTATCAAAGATGTACGTTCAGAACACCCTGTTAGTTCTAACAGAGTTAAGAGGCCATGGTTGTATGCATATCAGGGTAGTGATGTAGATGCTAACCACGTCTTCAATTAGGTTTGCAGTCGAATGTTGGCCCTAAAGGATAACTGCCTTCACCCTTCGTCTCAGAAACCCTACATCAGGACGTCATCTGGTGGCATAGATAATTCTCCTGAGGGTATCCAGGTATGTTACCCTTGTGTATTCTATAAATAGCCTACATGGATACATAGTTCTGAATCACTCACTAATCTCCTCGCCGAGGATAGCATGGCATCACACATGCTTTTGTAGTTGAGTTCACGAATTCCGTAGACCGAGACTACTATGTCAAGGAGGATCCTATTCATCAAGAATTCGTTAAGAGCCTTGGTGGGGTTATTGAGAAGGCGCAGGCCATTGACTTCATTCCGGGGGTATTTTGAAAGAAGTGACTGAAGCAGAGGATTGCTTGGATTGCCTCACTCGATCTCTGGACATTTGAAATAGACTACCACCGTCTTTACGTTTCTGCCACGTTGTTTTCTTTGCCGATAGAGAACTGAAGATACTAATGAAAGCGTTTCGGGTTAAAATAAAATTAAGCAGCCTATATAGGACTATACTCGCCAAAAACATGCGTCGAGAGGCTTCTGCTCGAGTCATCCAATTCTGGCAAGTGCGGTCCGTGGCCCCGAGCATAGCATATGTGGGAAGCCAAAAAGGAGGGAAAGCAAACAAATAAGCAAACAGGATTTGATGGAACCACTACCCTCGGCGTAGTAGTATAGGTACTACTAGTAGTAGTGGTAGGTCATTCATAGACATAACGAAGTCGAATTTATCGACTTTAACCTATGGTAAGGCATTGCTGCCCTCGTGCGGTCCGTGCGTTCGTCCTGGCGCTTAATACTGCTCACCTGGCTCGATCCTTCGCCAGAGTATTACGGAGATAGTTTTTTACTCCAGACATTGAAGGACCATTGATGACTCGAAGCGCAATATTCCAGAAATAGCCTATATTTGAGTCTCTGTAACTTAGTATTGGGTATTCCTAGAAGCAAAGAATTTTTGCAAGCATCTAGTTGATATTGGCTAATCGAAGTTTATAATTCGATCTAGCGAGGAAAGGGTCCAGGACTAGTTCATTCGACTTGTTGCTAGAGGGTGTATGTTAATATTGGCTTGCTCATTAGTAGTAGACTAGTAGTTCATGCTGCATCGGGGGTCAGGGTTCATGCATTTACTGGGGTCTAAAACTCGAATAGATTCATTCTACTCAGTAGATTGACTGTCCCCACTTTCACATCTCGGCTCTATGGTTACTAGAGTATAATATCAAAGCATACTCCTTACAGTGGATCTAGATAGTAAATATATTCATTCTTTCCTATTAGAATTACAAGTAATTGTAATTCGTTTACCATTAGGTATAGTTTATTATACCTACAAGTGCAATTCCAGTCCGGAGTAGTACGAGTATGATTGACGCGTTATCTATTACTGTAGGGAGATACAAACAGTGTGTATTGTAATACTATTTTCTGAAGAAACCATGGGCGCTCATGCAAGACCGGGGAAGTGAAGAAATTGCGATCAAGAATGTTTGAATGTCCGATATATCAATTTACCACAAAAAGAATATAAGTATTCTACAGTTTAGTACAGAATCGTATTTATGAGTTCTAGCAATATACTCACTACCAACTTGGAATCCGAGCGTTCAGATTTACCTAAATTAGAGTTTAGGTAACTAACTAGTTATGCTGTCATATTATGTAATCACTCCCAGCCCTCCAACTCTGATACATATAGTTACTACTTTCTTATCATCATACTGGTTTGCATAGACTTGCTCAACTCCTTTGGCTCTTTAGAGAGGCCTATGTATAATAAATGCTCGAATTAAAACTAATTAACATATCATTATAGAATTGTTTAGAGTGGTATATCACATTGTAATAAAGCAATGATAAATACGGAGTTACTCAAAGCTCCAGGTGTGCGAACGTTAGTGGTGCTTCAGCCTTGTCTTACAAGCCTAGTCTTACCTTTTATCTAGTCTCATTCCTCCGCCTTTCTATTCAAAAGGCAGAAAGTCGATCGAGTAGTGCCAGCTGATTGGTACTGCCCAAAAAACTGCGATTTCACGGAATTTACGCCTGTCCCCCCAAAGAAAAGAGAAGAAAAAAAAAGAGAGAGAGAGAGAGAGAGAGAGAAAGGTACCGCAAGTGATTCATCATGGATGCTCGGGGAGCAGCTATTTTAGATGCCTTACAGGCCCCACACGTGTATGGTGCCAACATGGCATTTCGATCATGGATAAGGTTTAGTTATTAGGTAGTTACATACTACCAACAGTCGGGTAACCGATCCCAGTGTACCGTCGGATTGGTCTTTCGAAGTCTTTCATAAGCGAATAAGAGGCTTTTTCTACGAAGAGTCAAAGCGTTCTCAGCGTCAAAATCTGTTTCATAGCAGAATGACGATCTACTGGCACTCATTCCTACTTGTGTTCGAAATCATGTATGGTTCTAAAAAGTTTGAAAATTTGAATCTATGCTCCTCTGGCTTGGATATACCTGAGGGAGGCGCTTACTTCTTGGTAAATGGTAGAAACACATATAAGTACTCATTAGAAGCCGTATCTTTTAAGATAGAGTCATAATCATCCTGTTCCTATTTCACATCCTTTATCTTGTTGTATATCTGCCAAAACAATATGAGGCTGCAACACCTTCTTATCATCTCCTTGTCAACATTGACTATTGCTTCTGATTTTGTTAAAACCTGCCGAGATTTAGCCTTTGCTGCTCCCTCGATACTATCCGCAAGCTGTGCAGGGCCTTCGGGCTGGACTGTGAGCCAGCTAAACCTGAATCTCTGCTTTGGTAGTGCCAATGGCCAATTTGTCCCGCAAGAAGGGTACGTTTCTACCTTCCAGACTCTAATAACTATAAGGATTTGGATATGAAACAATTCTCACGGTATAATTAAGTGGTGCTGCGTTTATAGAGTGCTATGGTGCAGAGTTTGGCAGTCAGGGAGCAGAACTCTTCGCTAGTTGTGTCGTCGGTGAGAGAAGCATGAATGGTATCAAGGCCGCTATAAGTAAGTCTCCATTTCGCGTACCCAGACTAGAGATGCCTCTGTAGATTTAACTTGAACGAACAAGAAGCTGATTACTTGATAGACGAAGTTATCTCGAATTACAACGGAGTCCTCAGCTGCTTCGACCATGACGGAACAATAGTCTACAGTTAGCCAACAATACCCTCCGCCAATAATAACGGGCTATGTGCAACGAAGTCCCCGTTACATACAGCAAGCTACAAGATTTGAGACTAGTGTCAAGGGCTCAAAGTAGATACCAGGCGAGGGAATTGCTGGGTTGACTTCTAATGCCAGGAAACGAAATGATAATATCGTAATGGATAATGGAAGTACATATTGTCTTATACAGGCCTTGTTCCCGGAAATACTAGGGCTATATCATCTTATAACATTTAACAGTATAGATTGAGATGCCAATGCAAAGGTGCATCTGATTCCCTTAGCTCAAACTTATTAGGACTAAGCATCTACCCTCCGAAGATATTAAAGTCCAATGTTGTTCATACATGGATAATGATATGCCGGATAATAGATAAATATGGCCCCTCACTCCCTATGGAAGCGGTCGGTATGAACATATGCACTTAAATCTCATGGCTGGCTAATTTATAAATCAAACGCCACAAATAATCGTTAGTATAGATGGGTATCGAAAGAACCTCTTGATCACACGCATCTCCTTTTCCCAAGCTTAATTCTTTTCCGTACCTATTGGCTGGGTCTATGGATGCATGCCTCGGCGACCTTTTCGTTCAGATAATTTTCCTTTAGTCCTGCGGGAGAATTTTCGGTATCAAGCTCTTTCTTACTAGGGCTGGATTTGTATGTCCTTGAAGAATACGCCTCCTCTGTAGCTAATTCAGAAACTACAAGTTGCGGAATTCTTCAAAGATAATTCAAGAACATGCTATATGTTTTTGCCGATATCTCTCTTTCCACCTAGTTTATTATGCTCCACATATGAAGACGAGAATTGAAATAACGCCGAGTAACTTTAGAGTTCTAGTTTACGGTCTCGACCCAAAACTGTCTCTCTAGGTATTCTTGATTAGATACGTCGGTGATTTCGACCTGAGCTTTTGTCAGTCTTCACAGGCAATGTAGACATCCACCTCTCAAGTCTCAGTTCTTGATGCCAAAAGTTAACATGGCCGCAAGGATATTCCCCTTTAGAAAGATTGTGATTATGTTACCCGGCTTGATCGCATCAATCTACGTACATATATGTACGCCGGCGTATAGAGGACCAGTCCGTAAGAACCCCAGCTAAATTTAGAGAGGTATCATAACACGAAAAGATCGTCGTACATTGACCCTTGGGATTGTAAGTAAACTACCGGATCATCAGGGCACTCATGCGTATCACGCCAATCAAGCGAGGCGCCTGCGTGTGTCCAAGACGGCAACTTCGTATTCATTGCATTAGCCCCAGTTTAGACCTCTGACGAGGGGAGCATACAGACGTCCTATGCCCTGCCGAGTCCAGTGCATTGTGTACCCGAAATTAGTACCTACAATGAAGACAAGTATGAATGGCGGGGGTGTTTAATTACCTCGTATTTGCTGATCATGAAGCCATGACCCAGGCTATCCAGCACATCGCATCGTATACATGATCAGTGAGCCATGATGCACATATAAGCCTGTGTTTCCTCCCCTTTACTTCAGTCAATGTTGGTGCTTTTCTATCTTTACAAACCTCCGTCACTCGCCGAATCTACATTATCCACTTTCAACACCATTAGTCGTTTCCAACCACCCAACAGAATGTGCAAGTTCCTCACCCTCGCTGCCCTCTTGGCAACCACAGCCCTCGCGGCGGATCGCACACCAGCCCTGGTTGCCCGTCAATTAGTTGAGCTCCCTTGTTCCTATCAAGGTGAAAAGGCCTGTGGGGATGGCTGCATCCCTCTCTCCTACACCTGCTGCCCCAATAACCTCGGGGGCTGCCCCCTGGGCTCCTACTGTGACGGTGTGGGTTGCTGTCCTAATGGAGAGACCTGCACCGGTCCAGGGGGCGTTTCCACTCGCCCTGGATCGACTATCTCCATTACCAACACTCTGACCAATACGTTGACGTCCACAAGCACCTCCACTCACACTTTGACGTCCAGCGAGGTCGTGACCCCAACCTCCACCCCTACACCTAGCTCGAGCGCCTCGTCCTCTCGGAGCGTCATTCCTCCCAGTTCAAGTGCGGTGTCTCCCTCGTCATCTACGCCGGCTGTGTCGCCCACCTCTCCTCCGCTTCATACTGGTGCAGCTTCTCACTTGACCCCGGGCTTCTACGCTGCTGCCGGACTCATTGTTGGTGCTGCTATCCTTTAGACGAGTCTTTACTGGTATTAGCGCCGTGGTCCTGTGAACCATGGCTTACTCCTTGGCCTATTCCATATATTGGGGTATGTCTGCTTATTCGAAAGGGTAATACAAGGAGGAGGAATAGGCAGGATGTGTCTAGTTTAATGTCATATAATGTATTTACTTCTCTTTTTACCCTCTCCGATGCCATGTCGTTGTAACCATCGAGATGTAAGTCTTAGAGTACATGCTGCTTGTTACTGAAAAACCTTTCACGTACGCCGCATTTTCTTCTTGTGTAATGTTTTGCTTGCCTCCAGCGGCCGAAGCAATGTGCAAATGTCAACCAAAGTACAAGGTTAAAGACGATTTAGTAGGCAAGATAGATTCGGAAGGTAGTAGGAGACAAAGATTCATGTTCAGCCTTTCACAGCATATAGTGGGGAAATATATACCTAGCTAGGAAAACCGACTTTCTCTCTAACCTAGGCCAAATAGAGATAAATAAGGTACGAAGGATATCATGCGCCTAGCGGAAATCACAAAGTAAACCAAGAAAGGAAAAAAAAAGGAAACATTGCACTGTACAGAAAGATATCGACAAAAGATGACAATATACCTCATCTAATCAAAATCAGGACAGAATGAAAAGAAGCTCTGGTTATAGCTACTTTTAGCATCACAAAAAGAAAGACCCAGGCTGGTATATAGATGAAATAAATACATTATAACAGAATATTGAGCACCCATGTGCACCGCACTACTTTCCACCCACAACATCACCACTTGGTGATGTGATCTGAAATCGCTCAAAGTTCAAGGTATAGTTTCCCTTGACACCCGAGTTGGCGAGATCGATAGTGTATTTGTCCTTCAAGCTCGGGTATGGACCAGTGAGGTATGTTTCAATCTTCTCCTCCGAGAGCATGGCCGCATCAAGCGTCCCGGTCTTCTCGAAAATGTAGAGGACGGCGATTCGGGAGAAATCCAGAACCTCCGTGGAGACTGTGGCAGTTGGTGTGGGCGTGGTTGTGGTGGTCGAAGAAACGGAGCTCTCCTTGATTGTTGATGGTGTTGTGCTTGTCGGTGGTCCGTGGACCTCTGTTGGCTCTGAACCATCGAATATGATGCCGTTCATTGTTGAGGTAGAGCCTCGAGCAGCGAGGGTCCGTGTGGGGACATTTTCTGGGGTGGCGGTAAGTATCGATCCACCAATTTGGTCTTCTGGCAAAGGTGAGACTGGCAGATCAACGGGGAAAGAGCGCCGGGCTTTGTTGTTGGACACGGTTCGAAATGAGACCAGTGTGTTCTCTGTTGTACAGGAAACATTGTTTTGACTGAAGAGTGCCATAATGGTGAGCGGATCTAGCGGAATGCTATAGTTACTCTGAGAGTTTTCGAACAAGCGCGGAATTTCGCTCCCCATCGTGGCGTTCCTGGATTCGGAGCCGTCATTTATTTCGGTCGTGGTACAGCTGGCATCCCCGGCTATTGTACACCGGGAACCTGTATAGCCATTCGCGCAGACACAAGAGCAGACATCTCCACTCGAGACACTAACACCGCCGTTCTCACATGGCGCAGTCTTCGCACACCCTGTCTTGGCATTGGCTGCCTTATGCTTCGGTACGGCGACGACGAAAATAGGCACGAGAACAGCAACGAGCACAATGATAAGAAACACGACACAAAGAATAATGAACAATCGAAGGGGCATTCCACAGCAACGACGGGGCCGTTTCTGTTCCTTCTCCTGGACCTCCCTGGGTCCCGAATCTCGGGAATTCAGCTGATGCAATGTTGATCGCCTGAAGAAAAAAGGCCAAGACGAGTGACCATTCTCTGGTGTAGCAGCTGGTGGGGGAAATGAGGCAAGAATATCTTTGATAGATCCCGACCCACGGTGTTGGTGGCCTGGACAGAAAGTTAGTTTGTTGAACTGATTTACTGCAGGACACAGAGTGCTTACCAAATGGGAATCTGGACGGTCCGCCACCGAGAAGATCATTCCGGCTTGCCGTTCTCCCATGCTCCAGATTTGTTGCAAGTTTTGTCGCACGCCGAATCAAGTCAGGCAAACTTGTTAGACTACCTCGCTTCTCTGCGTCACGCACGGCACCCATATTTAGGGGAGGTGGTCTACGGCCACCTGGTCTTTTGTCACTCATCGTTGGCATAGCCCGCGGAAACACTTCAGTCTCTTTTGCGAGAGCTTCAAAGTTGACATGTTCCGGGTGCTGTGGGCCAACATCTAATACAAATGGGGCCTTGTCCAAATCAAAGTGAGACGAATCAGACGATGATGTCAGAAACGAGCCTCTCCTTGCCCTTCCAGTCGAAACCTCATTTGGGAATGACGGGGGTGGTACATCCGGGGCGGCAGGTCTAGCTCTTGCAGGATCCTCTGGAGGTTGTATAGGCGACTCGGCAGTAGATCTTCGGATCATACACACCGAAGGTTGACCTCGTTTTCCTATGCTTGCCTGTCTCACTAGGGTAGAGCTGTTCCCAGTAACAGCATGATTCGTCTCTCCATCATCATCATCATCGGAGACTCCATCAAGATAGGTCCCCAAGATCTCTGATTCAGCCTTTGCCGAGGTCCATGACGGGATCGCCCTGTTTGATACATAGGATCCTTTACTGTCGGATCGCTCTTCTGGAATAGGTGAAACGGACGAGATGCGATTAACAACCTGCCGGCCTATAGGAGGAGGGGCGAGGTTTGCTACATTTCTCTGAGAGGGATCGGCTGGCAGACGTTGAGCGGGGAAGGGGAAATCAGGGATCGATGCCATAGAGGCAGCCGAGGAAACTGTGGAGTGCCTCAGAAGATCCTCCGTCGCAACAGACACGCGCGGGGTTGAAGCTGCAACACTACTTGGACTCGGAGGAGGCGGTCGTTGAACAGCAACCCGAGGAGGCGATGAATGTGATAATGGCTGTGAGAACGATGGGACTGGTCGTTTGATGTGTAGAGGGCTCGGTGCCACATCTGGGACGCTTCTCTCAGAATACACTGATGGGGAAGGCATGTCGGGCCGTGGGGGCCGCAGAGGCGGGGGCCCCCGGGGAGTGATATGTCTTACGTGCGAATCGACCATGTCCGTCTGCAAGTCCTCGGTTGGTAAGGGCCATTGAGCCATATGCGCGGCATTTCTGAGAGGTGGCACTCCTGCGTCCGCCTGAGGTTCGTGGCGTCTCCCAGCTTCCAGCATTTCCCTTGCTCGTCGAACAGATCCTTGTCTTTCCATCATGCAAGTTGAGCCTGACCAAAGGTCAGATAATGGGTAGTTGACAATAGTCACGATGTGTTCCCGTATGATACAGCTTTTGTTAAATCATAAGAAATCACCGATGTTGCGGTTTTAGTATATTCCTGTTTGTTTGTGATAGTTGGAAGCCAGCTCGACACGTCTGTCAAGGACAAGATGAATGAGTGAATAAAAGGGTGGCGGAATAGTTTCTGAAAAGTGGATTTCAAATGTTTCCTGCAACAGTGGCCGTTGACTACGCTGTGAATGCGCAAAAAGCGAATAGCACTTGAGGAGCCTGTGCTCAAGTTTGATAAAAAAAAAAAGGAGTGTGCTGATAGAAGTATTGCAATGGCACTCAATGCCGTTGCTGTGGTGGATATGATACGAAGTCAGCAAAGGCATATTTCGAAATATCCTCAGGGTTGTATATGAGAGAGCAGTGTACCATGACTAGAAGAACATCTAGTGTAAGAAATGAATGACGGAGGGCAAAGTCTTAAAATTAAAAAGTCATTGTAACCAACAAGACCAATGTCATATCTTAATGGAACATTTGACTGTTTAAAAAACCCCTGAAGGCGCAGGCAAAACAGGTATTAGCCCCATCAACTAACCCATGCGTTGATGCTGGTAGACTTACGAATGCAATAACAGGGGTCACGAAAAGAAAAGAAAAGAAAACACAAAGAGCTTCTAGCCCTTATTGAGAAAATAGAGAAGGAGAAAGATGTAGAGAAGGCAGGACACAGCCTCCAGATGCGTATAGAGAAAGAAAGCACGTCGCAGGAATGAGTAATAAGAATCAGGGTTTTCCAGCACCCCGAGGATCTAAATCAAAATCAGGCGTTGTTGCTTGCTTTTCCGCGCTACGAAAGTATGCATGGGCACAGGATGAAAGAGGCGTGGATTGTTTTGGGACCCGGTCCATGCCAAAATCAAGTGGAGCACGTAGCGTGGGAGCGGACACAAAAGGGTCATTTGCGAGCGTCGCAAGTGCGACAAAGGATCAATTGACCAAACAGGCAATATGCAACTGCTAGCCCTTGTCCATGTATGACAATCCCCATACTGCGTGTAACACCTAAGAGGGCGAAAAGAAAGACAGGTCCCATCGAGCCAGTTTACTGTCGGATATTTCTTCGTTCGCGATGAATTTTGGTGCCGGATTGTTGATGGAGTTCCATGAATCGCTGCAACAACAGGTTTAGAGTTGTATCTTAGATGAGGACCGTGGATTGGCTCGACGAGTTTTAGGATAAGAACAACTTTTGGAAGCGAAGTGACTGGATTATTGGGTCTGCGGCCATTCTCGAGCCCCATTGGCCCGGTGGAGACTCCCAAGGTCGTTAGCGGTCGACGGCATGTCTCAAGTTGAGGAGAAGGTGCCACTCTGCGATTTCAACATGAAACCATATCTCCCGTGTGCATGGTCCAATGGGCTTTGGAAGCGAGGGCTGGGACAAACGGCAGTCGCCGAGGGATCCGTCAAGCCGTTGATCGATCCAAGGCATGGAAATGGTCGCATGGATAAAAGTAGCGATCGACAATTGTGAGAAGAGTAGTAGAAAGGTAAAATGAAAGAACCAGCTCAGCTTCTAGAATATCTCCGATGGGATTTAACAAAGGAGGACACTTGTAGCCGAATCAACTTCGTCTTCATTCGCTTCATGAAGTTTGACTATTGAACTGACTATTTGTTAGCTTGTTCGTTAACTCGTCAATGGGGAGAGTCGTATTGATTAGGACCTGCAAGGGTTAAAGTGAGACACCAAGACATCAACCACATGGTGCCACTAATAAGACTATACTGAAAAGCGCCAATGAGAAAGTACTTTCGAGTGGTAAGTAGTTGCATGCAGGATGCAGAATTCAGAAGGCGTTGGATGGAATTGATGATGCCATCTCGAGATACAATACCAATGATTACAGTAATCTATCCTACCATTCCGTGCCTGGAGTGGTCCCGGCCTTTAGGTACTGTATGTATCAAAGATACTGTATTGCGCTGCCGAAGTATGTCCACGCACGTGGCGCCGTTTATTTATTTATTATTTTTATATCCAACTCCATTGCTGGACATTGTAAACTTACGGAGAATATATCCTAAGTATAGTAATTGATAGATTAAATATCGACGCCACTATTAAAGGAAATTGATTGCAAAGATCCCACCTCTCCACTTGACCATGGCTTGTGCTTCTAGGAAGGACCACACACAGTATAAACGATCGCAAATGCCGAGATTATAGGGTACCCATCTTTTAGACATGCTCAGTCTCTAAGTACTCCGTATATAGTACTAGTAGACCACCGGACGCTTTGTTCAACTTCTAAAAATATTGGGCGACACCGGGAGCCACTTGACCAGATTCGATGCGGTTGAACCATAGTTAACTAACCACCTAGTTACTAAGTAGGCTTATTTAATTGCATTGAGTCGACTTGGTTCTAGACGGGACCAAATGCATTGCACCTCTTCTGCATTCCTTACTTGAAGCGTCCAGGGTCTATACATATACACATACATATACACACACATACATACATGCATGCATTAGTACATATATATCATGAGACGCATTAGCAATCATGCTTGGTCTATCTTCTTGCGCACACGTTTCACCTCCTTTTCCACAGCCTGCATCTCGACCATCACACTCGCCAGCTCAGGCAAGGGACCCCCTACAGCCTCCGTGAAATATTTTTGAGCATTACGGAGAAAAGGTGGCACCAAGATTCCGTACCATCTAATGGGGTCGGAAGAACGGGGCTTCTTCTCCAAAGATGTAGGCTTTGTCTCTGCCGGCTCTTGTGCCCCAGGGTCATCCGATGAAGTTGTGGAATCCCCAGCCTTAGAATCACGCTTCTTCTCAGGACCCTCACATTCCAATGTGGACGCGTTACTCGAGTGAGATTGGTTCTCTCCTCCAGTCCACTCAGAGGGTTCCTCTACACTATCACCTGTAGCTTGTTTTATAGTGAAGATGTGACTATAGTCGCCACACTTGGTAAATTCATCGGACGATTCATCCACACTGGATGCATCGACATCTTTGGTCGACGATGTAGGGGGTTCTAGGTCCCTGATGGCACCTCGTTCATTAGCGTTGAACACTCCGAAAACCGACACAAACGGCGCAAGGCACAGCTCCAACTTACACCCTTCTTGTTGCTTTCATACGTTCATCGTAGTAGTCTGCTCCATATCTCCGACCTGGGGGGCAAGTGTAGTTGGCTTGGGCGAGTGAGAGAAACCCCTAGTCTCGTATTAGCGATTTGTCCTTGTTGAGCCTTGTGTTTCCAACGTTGCTGTACCGAAGATAAACTTGTGGCAAGTTCGGCCTGTAATTTCTGATGACGATCTAAGAGATGGAGATACCGTTCTAGAAGAGCGTCCAGTGACCGTAACAAGTCTGAGTTGCCAACTCCCGGAGGCTGTTTGTACTCGGTGTCGGGTGATTCTGAACCATGGCGAGACGCAGGAGGGGTGGGAATTTGCGCCATTGGGGGAACAAGACGAGATAGGGACCGGAAAGGGCCCGGGTTGACAGGAACCGACGCGAGGTTGTCAATTACACGATGATCTCCGAGTCCCTTCTCCAAATTTATGGGGATCGGCCGAGGAGTCCGATAACTCCGTCATCGCGCCTCCGAGAAAACCAAAAGAATTTCCCGCGAACAAGTCATTCATCACCTCTACCATATATCGACCTCCCATATCAGGAAGTGACTCCTGATTTACTCATATTCGTCTGGCGCCACGAGTGTACTCTCCAAGCCCTGAATAGGAGCTATCCGACCTTCATTTCCCGCGGAAAGTGTGACTTTCCTCTCCACGCCACCTCCGGTTGCGGTGTTCATGGTGCTCAACGCCTTGTGAATAGCTTCTTGGAATTAATAGTATCATTTCGTTATCGTTGTCCTGATAAATTCCTGGTTGATCGTATTGTGATTGACAATCGAATTTATTCACTTTCCAAAAACCTGAGTGTTAATCCTCCGGGTTAGCGGCTTGAAGCGCTACAGCCGAAGACAAATACGTCTTAGGATCTACCGAACACTATCCTATTGAACTTGCGGTCCTCGTTTCTGTGCTCGCTACTGTTGCTATACGTACATCTTAATTGTTGTGATTTTCCCCCTCCGCTCTTAGCGCTTTCATCATGTCTGTACCGGCATTACAGCGGGACACTGCCTTCCAGGTGCGATCCTTGGTATGTACTCCAGAATCATTCCCCTATTGTGGTGGGATCGAACTAACCTTGTCGATTGATTTTGTGTATAGTTTCGCTCCTTGCTCCGCCAGTCGTCCCAGTTCTCCAATTATAACTTCCGCGAGTACGCCCGTCGGCGGACAAGGGATGCTTTCCGTGAACACCAACGTGAGACGGAAGATAGGAGGATACAAGAGTTGATCCAGGATGGTTTACAGAATCTGCGGATGATGAAGGTCAGTTATGGATATCTTTCTTGCGACAGCGTTCAGATACCCCACCGAATCTTGTGATGCGGTTTTGCACTCCGGCATCGCTGACATATACCTTAGAGGCAAACCGTCATCAGTCAGTTCTACCAAATGGACAGGCTGGTCGTTGAAGGTCAGAAGACGGTTAGTAGAGCTTATTGATATATCACCAGTAGCCCGCCGCACGTGGAGCTCACGAACATCTACAGGGAAAGCAAGCTGGAAAAGAAGGGGATATTGTTCGCCAGAAGGATACTGGGTAAGATGAGTGTGAAGCTCTCGTATTACAGGCATACTAATCTACGCTACAGTTGGGATTAATTGGAACCAAAAGATCACGAATGAATAAGCGGTTGACACACCACAGGAGGTTCGGAAAGAGACTTGATTTTCTATTTCGACGGGGACCGAGGATGATGTGATCGAATCCAATAGACTTGAGGTGTTTCTTGTATTATTAATGAAACAGTTACATTGTAGGTAGCGCAGTCTCTTATCTTCAGAACGCCGATTCTTCTCTCATCCTCCTTGTCATGCAAATAATAATGTAGAGGTGTTGCCAATGTGAGTCTACGGTAGTTGTGTCACGTGATGATACCGTTCCCTTTCCCGCGACTCCATCGCATCGCGACAGAGACCCCGACAACCCTTCCCAGTTTGGCTCATTAGCCAACGATCCCTTTCATTAGCTCCGTCTCTTTGCTTCATCCGCATATCTAGCGATACTGGGGTGCTTGGCACATCTCTTCTTCATCGGGTTGTGGAGGAAAGATCGCAAAACATTGCTCATCATGCCACCTACTGTAGGTTTCTCCGCGGTGACATCGCTATCGGCTACCCGAATCTTCTTCATATGCAACAAAAGCGGAGACCATTTATCAGGGACTATTATTGTACTGACAACTTCTTAGTTCAGATCTTCACGCTCCGGCCGTCAATTCGGCGATGGCGCCAACCGCACTAGAACCGGCCAGATCGACCACGATGTCTTCGAAGGCTTCCGGTTCGACGATGGACGCGCCAGCTACAGACCGTCTCCCAAACCCCCAAGCTGGACGGACAGGAGTCATTCGTAGAAGGTCCTGGTGGAAAGCAAACGATTCCAGAACACCCAATGCCCAAAGACAGCCATCTATTAACCCCGATGAGTAGAGCGCTCCTCCGTGCGGCCCGTGCGGGGTGCATATATATTCGCAAAGCCACAAAAGATGCAGAGGACGAAGAAAAGGAGGTTACAGATGTGGAAGAACAGCCGGCCTTGCAGACTACGGAGCGTAGCTTTGTTACGCGCAAGTGGACCACGGTCCCCAGGCACTTGGAGAATTCAGAGGTCGAGTTTCTTGCTAAGAGACGACCGGGCTTGCCGTCATTATATGGTGCCACAACCGCCGGTGCCAATGGCGCTGAGAATGGGTCTGCGCCAATGAGGAGGACCCGTTTCAAGAAAGTTGACCCAAACAGTGGAAACATCTCTATCTACGAGGCCTGGGTGCCGGAAGGGCATAAGATTGAAGGAGAAATTACCGACGACTCTCAACTGGTACCAGAAAACAGCGAAGCAATTGTAACACCCGAGGCGCCTGCTCCTGGAACAGTTATTGAAGGTGTTGGCGTGGTCAATGCAGAAGGTGTGGTTGTGGCAGATCCAGCCTCAGCGGCTGTCATGACTCCTCCGAAGAGGCGCCCCCCACCTCCTAAACGTAAGGCGAAGGGCTTCGGGAAAGGAAGGAGGAAGAAGGTCATGTTCGCTCCTGGCGAGGGAGCAGATGCAAACGCCGTACACGGAGCCGGCACTGGACCTGTCGATGGCACTGCCGAAACAGGTTATGGTAAAGAGGGTGCGGATAGGTCGCGGATTTCAGTCGACCAAAATGGGCAGGAAGAAGAAGAAGAAGATGCTGAGGAGGGCGAGGAAAGTGACGACGGCGATGAGTCAATGTTAGATGCTAAGACTCCAGAGACCCCACTTCACCAACCAAGTGCAGAGCCGACAACTGATCCTGCATCTGAACCTGTGCCGGAAGTAGTTCCTACTTCTACTGCACCCGCTACGGAAACCGTGGTTGCTTCACAACCGCCAGCTCCAAACCCCCCAGCCGTCGCGTCAGAATTAACTGCGCAAGCACTCCCACAGCCACCTGCAGTGTCCACTGTATCATTCGCACCACAGCAACCCTGCCAGCCTGTTCAGCCAAGCACTGATCTACCAAGTTCTACCACGCCCCCTGCAAAGCCAACACAAGAAGTGACACCTGCTGAGGATGTGGAGATGACCGGTGTCAACCCCGAGCTGCCCGCTATCGATGCTAATGCTGCATCCCTACCCCAGACAACACCGAATACTCAACAGCAGACAGCCCCGGAGATCATTGAAGCACCGACTGAGACAGCCACGGGCGCAGTCCCCGCACAACTTCAACACATCCCGCAGGTCACTGCACCGGACTCATTCCCTGTCGTGAGGAGTGAAGACCCAACTGGGAAGCCATTGGAAGCCCCTTCGATAGGACAGACTGACTTGGCAGCCCAAGCAAGCATCGAGGATGAGAATGTGAAATTGGAACCCCCGGCTGGCCTTCCCCAGATGCCGCCACCAGGACAAGCTCCTCAGCCAGAGCAGGCACTCGAGCCACAACAGACTACCCAGCCAGGACAAACTCCCCACCCACAACCGACCCATCAGTTAGAAGACACCCCCCAGTCAGAACAAACTGCCCAACCAAAACAAGCCCCTCAGCCGGAACAGATTCCCAAACCAGAGCCAACTCCGTATCCCGAGCCGGCTTTACAGCAGCTAGCCGCCCAGCCAGCTGAGGATATTGTGGAGGACAATGGTTCCAGTCTCTTGGACAGTTTAGAAGCAAGTTTAGGACATGCTCCTGGCGTCGAGCAAGAGGGCGAGGCTCCGTTTGGCGATCAAACAGAAGCTCTACCTGACCACAACGCCGGTCATCCCAGTACGGAGACTACCCAGCAACCTACACCCATGGAGGTAGACGTTGACACCATGGACCGGTATACTGAGCCAAGTTTGCAATCAGCAGCAACACAACCTGCAGCGCCCATCGAGCCGGTGGCCGATCAACCACCTACACACGCCCCTGAAATTGCTACTGAAAACAGCGCAGAGCAAGCCACGGAACTCCCTATGGAACAGCAGATACAGCCCCCGGCGGAGACGCCAATAGAACCATCAATAGAGCCTGCTACTCAAGAATTTACGCAGCCTTCTGTCGAGCAGCTAGTCGAACCTACCATGGAACAGATTGAGCCGAAAGCGGAGGAGCTGGCCCCAGTGCAGGTGGAAGAACCACTTGGAGAGCCCCAAGGGGCACAACAACCTGAAGCACAGCCAGAACCGATTCCACAACAGAGCTCAGCACAGGAAAAGGAACCTGCTCCGGATAGTAATTCAGAACCACCTGCAGCGTCACTCCCAGAACTACCGCAAGAAACACCTATCGAGCAGATTCCACAGCCTACGGAGCAAGCAGTAGCGCATTCTTCCCTGGAAGCACCGGTGAAGCCATCAATGGAACAAGTAGACGAGCGGCCCGATGCTTCTCGGCCAGAGACGACACAGCCTCTCCAAGAGGTTGAGCCTGTGCCAACACAGCAACCGGTCGAACCCCAGTCACCCCGGACTGCGACTCCACCTGCACCAACCGTTACAGAAGACGCCCAGCCTAGACCCATTGAGAACAATGAAGCCAGTGAAGCCCACGAGCTCACTGCACCCAATTTCTCTCCAATCTCTGACCTGAACCCTGAGCTTGAAAAAAAGGAGGAAACAGAAGCACAGCCAAAAACAGGGGAGGCACCGGCACCAGCAGCACCGGGGCCTGACATTGTTCAAAACCCATCGAACTAATCTGCACATAGTATATAGTACTTGTTTGGGGGGAAAAGGTCACCTTGATTGAACTGGGACCTGTTTTATTACCAGGTGTATATCGGTGTACGGCGTTACAATGTGCTGGAAAGGGGATTTTGGAACTTTCGGATCAGGCGTATTTGGACCCATCGCATGTTGTATCATAGGAGTTTTCACAAGTCAGAACGTATAAAACTCACAACCCCGGCTCTCATGACAGCCCGCAAAAGACAGGGGAGTCGCGTATCGAGGAGGCCGAGAGCGATCGAAAACAAATCATGGCATGTTAATATTTTCTGTAAGTTATGAAACGGTTCCAGCGTTCAAGTGATTTTAAACTAGTTGTTGAACCTGAATAGGTACATACATTCAACCAGAAATAGCACTGCAAAATGCCCTATGCAGGCATCTTGAGTGTCCGTACATTTCCAGGTAGTCGAATGGAGTGATTTTTCAGTTAGTGATGTGTAGATCCTCTTGACTAGGTTTCTTCACCGGATGGCTATCTGCCAGGTCAAGTGACTGAGACACCCTGCTTCAAGGGTGAGTCCATGTGAGAATTATCCTTTCTCATTACTCTCTTAGATGTCAATGTGATGCTGTATTCTACTCAGATTCGTCGAACTTGCTCCAATACGGAAAGGAACTGGTAGAAAGGATTTGCCATATTACACTGAATATATATAAGTACAACGCGCACTTGCATATCTATCTCTCCACTGCAATACCACAGAAATCGAGGATCTCATCAGCAAAGTCAAAATAGATTCAGTTAATTAAACCAGCTAGTGATAGACAACATCGAACTAGACAACTGAACTTATATCCCGTCGACTAACCAGCCAGGAAGAAAGTAGTAACATTACAGCAATAACACCGTCTCTGCAATTCAGGTCTCGTAACACAGCAAACATCAAAACCAGTGAACAGGAGTGTTGGACAGAAGAAGAAAGATAGAATACCGTCAGACCATACCAACATCGGACCCAAATTCGATCGATGACGACGCACAAGGTGTAGTGGAAGCAAAAATAAAACATTAGGCCAAAATACAAGGGTAACTTATCATCAAGAGAAAAGAACTAGCAGGAATTGCCAGTAAAGAAAGGGACGAGAAAAACGAGAGGAAATGGAGCAAGCTCCCCAAGAAGTTAGAAAAACGATGGCCGTGGATGAAGCAGTATTCACACAGTAGATCGGCCCAGGATGAAACACCTGCGGTATTCTTATGGAGCCAACGAGCCCAAATTGATCATGCCTTGGAGTTATTAGCAGCCTTGCTTGCTGCCTTCCCGCGAGGAGTAGTCTCCTTGCCTTTAGAAGTACGCTTGGCAGGACTCTTGGTCTTGGTGTCTTCCTTCTTCACTGTACGTCCGCGAGTGCTCGTCCCCTTAGCAGCCTGGAGGATCTTCGCTTTAGTCTTCTCGGACGGACGGCTTAGTTTAGATGTTGATGGAGCCGACTGGGTTTTGGTTGTCTGTATCGGTTTCCTGGCTTTAGTCTTTGTGGTTTTGACCTTTGGCAGTTTAACTTCCTTCTTAGATCTGGCATTATCCTTCTTCAATTGGCGCCGTGCTGGGGTTGCGATGGCTTTCTTGTTTGTCGTCTTGGAGGCTTTTGTGCTGGCACTCGTTTTCGAACTAGTTTTCGAAGTTGTAGTTGCTTTGGAAGCAGAAGAGCGTGCTTTGGTAACAACTTTCTTCACGCCAGACTTGATGGACTTCGAACCAAGAAGCTGTCGCTTATTGACGCGCGAAGTAGATCCATTCAACACCTTCTGCTTGGTGGTGCTGGCTTTTTTATTGTTGTTCTTCGAACTAGATCTCTTCTCGTTTTCAGCCCTCAGTTCCTTCTCCTTTGAACGCTGCTCTTTCTCCCGCGGCCGTGGTCCAAGGATACCACGGCACCTGTCCGATCCACATCGGCATTGCTGAACGTTTTTTTGAGAATATGGGCTGCAAGTAACAGGTCAGTATCGACAACCCCAAGTTATATGGTAAGGTAACCCTACTCAAAGTTATAGTCATAGGTCAGTTCATCCCCGGTCATGATTCCACGATCACCAGCAAAAAGCGCCATACGCGGTTTCCCCGCGACTGTCCATTTTTCCATCCGACAGTTGGGCTCGCAAGAATGGTTTACAAAACGAGCGATAGAGCCCCTGGTAGCATCGATGATCATGTTCTGATCAAAGTACATTAGGTAGTAGCACTGATAGCGGTCAATACGCCGCCCATCGACCAGAGAAAGGGTGAAAAGGATGCATACCTCGTTTTTTTTATAAATCGTCCTCATGCGTTTCTCACATTCCGCTTGCGTTATGATCTCCCCTGTGTATTCCACGATGACCTGGTTAGGCTCGAATGTGCGGTTGCTACGAACACCGTATCCTCGATCCTCCGTCTTGATGACTTCAACACCAATATTGTATTTCCCGCCCGCTTTGGTTCTCTGCTTCAGTTCCTCGAAATTCCGATTTCCACACTCGGGGCCCACACCACAATTGCTGTCATCACATTCATAGAACATGTAACGGTTCTGACATTCCTCGTCACAGCCAGCTTCTTCCGCGCACATACACTTGGATAGCTCCAATGGCTTGTTTGCTCGCCATATGCTGGATGCTTCCCCGACAAAGACATCTAATTCCATAAGTTAGCCATTATCGCGTGTTTTTACTACTAGTAATCGTACTCTTGTTGGTCTTTCTCCACTCATTGGGCTTGGGCTGACCCGAAGGAAGCGGAGAAAATATATCGAAGGGGAGCTGAAAATCTCTTCCCTGCTTCAATAGGCGATCTCCTGCAAACATCGGCATAGGAAGCAGTCTGCGTTGTGTGGGACCTTGGCTTCTGCGCTTTGCATTTCTGTTCCTACTCTGCAGGGGCCGAGACTCTGTGTATTCCTGGCCTGTGTACAATCCATGGGCTAACCAGCGCTTTGTCTTGGATCGAGTAACAGGCTTGGGAGCCTCCTGTACGGCGTCTTCATTTTCCTGGATTTTGACAGGTAGATCGCTTTCAGAAACACGCCTCTTTTTCGCCGCAGGAGCCTCGCTGGCAGCCTTGGCCGGTTCCTCCTTGGGAGCAGTAATTCGAGGTCGTAAACTAGCACGCCGGCTGAGTTCTTTACCCTTTCCCATCACGTCACGCGAGCGTTTGCCCAAAACGCTGCTAGCCCGGCCAACAAGGTCTGAAGCCTTCTCTAACAGACTCAAACGAGACGAGCGTCTTACTGGCGACTTGGATTCTTTAGCCGTTACAGTAATTTTGCCCTTATTGCCGCCCCCTTCCTCAGCCAGGATCCGCTCTACGCGCTTCCGTAAAGTGCGTTGTTGCAGTGACGTGCCCATGTCACTGGCCTGCAGCTCTTGCGAAGACTTAGAAACTGGAGTATCTGGGGCCATTGGATGGTCCCCTTCAGTCTCCATATTGTCTTGTGCGAGCGTTGCCTCACTCCAGGACTCCATGACCGCTATGCTGTGGCGCAGGTGGGAGGCCTGGGACCTCTTTCCGCCCTCAGCTTTATCGAGCAGAGTCTCCTCCGAGACCGCGGGGTCATTTTCGCCAGCCGTAGACAAGGTCCCTTGGTTATCTATCTCCATGTCGCCGTCGAGTTGTGCCTCTCCCCGTAAAGAGGCGCGTGTTACACGTGTAGATCTTCGCCGTACAGTCGGCTTTTCCTCGGTAGACGCGTTTTCATTGTTACTGGACGTCTCCGAGCGACTGTTCTCGGGGGTGAGGAGTTGCTCCGAATACTCAAAGGCCATTGTGTCGTCAGCGGGCTCGTGAGTGTGCTTATTGAAGTCTGAAAGGGTTGCGGGAGTCGCGGGAGGCGCGCCGGCTGATCTAAGTTGACTTTCCATCCCAAGGGTCTCGGGACTGATTTGCGGTGAGTATTTGAGACTGCAGGGGAAGGGAGACCGCCCGGAAGGGTGAAACGATAGTGCCTTTGAGGGGTTTATGCGTCAAATAAAGAGGGGGACTGAGATCCGGCTGAGCTGACCTGATTTCCCAGGTACGGGGGTCGAGGTGGTTGCCTCTTATCAGGAGTGACTGTCTTAGAGCCTACACTTTGGGGATCATATTAGAAACTCAAAAGAGAAGGCTCTGACACGCAACTTCCGACTGGCAAATGGCAGCGAGAAGGCTGACTTGAGGGGCACGGGCGTGGTATGGAGAGGGAATAGGGAGGAAGAAGAAGAAGAGATGCGGAGAGGGTTGAAGTCCGTATCGTAGGCACGGCGGAATGCAGAACCACAAGGGAAGCGAGACAACCAGCAGGACAGACATTCGGCCCCACGCATAAATCCCCCCTGAGGGTAAGCAAGAGTAACACTCCATGTAATTGGACTTCAATTGTTTGGTCTCAGACCAGTGCATACGCCACTATCTACACCCTCCCCATCCATCCCATCCATGGGCGCTTACCATCAGCGGTCATGACACTACATGCTCTGCGATCTACTGCATACCATTTTGGATCTGGATGGATTATTCATAGTCTATCTGCAGGTTGGGGGTTCGATATCATACAAAAGATCCCTCGTATAACGTAATATCAGAGTCCAAATCAAGAAAAGCCTCGAAGCAGACCCTTCGAGGTAGACAGAAGAAAGAAAGGAACCAAGTCACAAGGAGGGCGTGGGAAAAAGTACAAATGAACGAATCAAAGACGCTTGGCTCAACGTGTATATGAATTGCCTTGACAGATTGGTATGGGCAGGAGGAAGAGAAGAAAGATATGCCTATTCATGCATTCCAGAAGAGGCAAGATGAACCCCAAAAAATAAACGAAAGGAAATAATGAAGGACCGTAAAGCCATTATTATTTGAATATATCTTTAGAAGAGAAAGGGAGAAACTAGTGAAGGCTGATGCCTGAGAAAGGTAGAAGAAGAGCCTTATCTATAAAAATAGTGTCTGATGGGCGCTCCATATTTTCAGAGTATTGTTATAGACCTCAGTCCTGCGGCTGATCAGAAGGGACATGCTGCATCTCTATGCCTGCTTGAGCTTCAACGTCTCGCGGAAGGTATTTTCGTTTCACCATGCTTAAGCGCTGGTCACCCTCGTGATATGACTTCTTGAATTGCATGTATGTCGGGGGCCGTGGTCGCCCAAAGACGGATATCCAATTCTTCAGGATATTTCCTTGAGTAAAGGGCCGATGACGGTCGGCTTTCACAAACTTGTGGGAATTTAGGTATTCCCTAGTCGTCTCTCCCCGGCCAACCAGAAATAGGTGATATGCCCAGAGGGAGGCTGGATACGGAGCCGCAACGGCTCCATAGAGGACCATAGCCCAAGGTACCCTCCACTTATCGATCGCATCATTGAAAGAAATACCCTCTTGTGATCGATATACGAGGATATGTGCCAGACTTGCGCCGATTAAAAAGAAGGCGAGGAGTGTGGACGAGCCCACAAAAGTGAAAAAATAGCGATAGTTGCGACGGCCGACACAGTTATTAAGCCAAACGCAATGATGATCAAGTGTTTCGATACAATTGTCACAGACACGGCAATGATAGCAACGTGGAGGTCGCCATATATTGCAGGTTTTGCAGAATTTCACCGGCACATCCATCGCTGCAACCTCAGAGGTCGCCAATTTAACCATCACCCAGTCATTTGTTGGTGGACCTATCGCTAGCGGATCATCTGACGGATCTGGCGGTGGCATCGAGTGAAGATTCCGAGGAATGATCTGACATAGAAGAATTAGCGACAAAAACGTCGTGCTTTACATTGGAGCTCTTTCTTACCCCGGGGTCAACGACAGAGGCGTGCAAAAACGAGGAAAAGCATAGGTAGAAGAGATAAGCGAACAATATGGGAATAGCGGGTGAGATGTTGTGCCAAAGCCAAGGTGCCCTGCGCAAGGTCAGCAGTGATTTTTTTTTGAGCAGTTCAACTCATATGGGGAAGGTATCTTACGAGAACCCAAAGAATAAAGCTGATGGCACAACTACCAATACTCCAGTTGCAACATTGACAGGCTTGTCCCGAGAATTTTGAAACCTCCCACCACCACAGAAAATAGTGTTGCCAAGGAAATATTCATAGTTCTTGCCCAGATGGCTCTTGCTTACCGTCCGACTCTGTTTCTCAATGGATCCTGGAGACGAACCGGCTGATGACAGCCGTTCGTGATTCCGACTATCGCGGTGCTCTTGGCCGCCGCTTCTATTTGGTGGAGATAAGAAGGAAAGAGGAGATCTTTGGGAAATGTCATGACCGCTTGGACTAGTAGCGCCCACACCCAAATTGAGATGAGGCTGAGAAGGTTGGTTCTGTCTTTCTTTGTCGCGTAGAAGTTTAGCACTTTCGCCTATACTTCGCGCTGTTGTATTACCAATGGGACTGGCGTTTGATGTGTTTCGGTCAGGGATAATGGGGTCTGTGAATTCAGTGCCTCGAGACGGAGGAGCGTCCTGCTCCTGTGGAATAGAGCTCTGAGCAAGCGTACTATTGGATATTAAACTGCGCCTATTTTGACTTGCGTGATCACCCCAGTCTTCCGATGATTCTGTCCCTTTCGTCATTGGACGACCGCGATGGGCTTGGAGTCGCTGAGAAGATAACGGCCGAAAAAAGCCTTGCGCTGTCAATGAAGGAATGTGGCTCCGGCTCAGTCTGCTATTCGAGCTTCCTGGTCGGTTTGCTGCTTGGCTGGTAACAGAACTCCTCACAGGAGGAGGACCGGGCCTACTAGATACGGATGGCCGTGACCGGTGCGGTGCGTGCGAGGAGATTCCAGTATTTGATTGTGACTGATCCCCATCTTCAGAAGTCATATCCTCCGTTACTCGAGACGAGATACCTCCCACGGAAGGCGGGCGAGGAATACCCAGCGCATGTTGTGTGGGCCCAGGATGTGGCGTATCACTTGTTTCTGAGTTGACCGACGAGAATGCCATGATGTTTTAAATGAGTAGTTGCTATGTTGCTATCAGTTGATGTTGAATATCATGTTGTGGCTAGACGAAGGAGAGGGATATTGAGCATGATATAAGCTAAGGGTCGCTGTAATCGAATGCGCGAAAAACAGAACGGGGATAAGAATTGGTCAAGGAGAGACAGCGACGACGATAGAGAAAGAAAGAGAGAGAAAAAAAAAGCCGAAAGTATGATCAAGTTAAAGAATGTAAGCAACCTAAGAACCAGGACTGTCAGTAAGCCATGTGCGATTTCGATGTCAAGAACGCGGCGCCGAAGATAGCCTCCCCTATACGTTTCGACAATAGGGATTCCGAACAGCACGAACCTTCAAACAGAGTTGCGATCGACTGCAAAGCAGCTAATGAGCCAGTTACATCACGACAGCGATGCAAACTGCATGCTGTGCAAGTCCAAGAAAGCTGAATGAAGGAATCAGCAAAAAGACACCCCTCGCCCGTCCAACGGCGTGCACGAGCATTATCGCATTCGATGCAATCCCCTACTTGGCCCAACCCCAATCCGGTTAGGGCCAGCTGGCTAGCCGGCCATGACTAAGCGTCGGGAGCTGATGGGCCAACGAAATGTCACCTGATGTGATGCGCCGGCAACATCATCGTCCGACACCCACGCATTCTCCCACCTCTCGAAAGAGATCTCCGGTTTACCTCACCACCTTCTATACCTCGCAACTACCAAAATGTCGTCAATTGCCGCCATGGCCTCCCGCCGGGCCTTTGCCCGCCAGTCTGTTTTCCGTGCCCCCGCTCGCCGTTTCTACAGCTCCAAGTTGGAGGAGGCCAGCCTCGACAAGGCTCCTCGTCGTGACCCTGAACTTTACGTACGCAACTACTTTCGTCTGATCAATTGGGCTGATGGAATTGAGGTCTAATCTTCTATAGGTCCTGCTCGGTGTTATGTCCGGTGCTTTCCTTGCTGCTGGATGGTGAATACCCTTCCCCGTACCCACTTTTACAACCCGCGACCGGCCGCAAAATTCCCCCAATTGCATGTGGAAGCAAAACAGAATATTAACAACTTCTCCTCATGACAGGTACTTCGGCAAGAAGCCCACCTCCGTGACCTCCGAGAGTAACGTGCGCATTGGCGACAGCGCCATGCCTTGGGAGCGTGAGGACGACGGCAAGGTCTACAAGTACCAGTACCACCCTCACGGTGACAAAAGCCAGCCCCTCAGAAACGCCCCCAGCGCTCTGAACACTGTTATTGTGCCCAATGTTACTCTGCCGGCTGTATGTTCAATCCCCACCTTGCTTCAGGATGCATTTTATATATCGACTTTCGCGATGTTCGAGAGAGAATGGCTACTAAGATAATCCCTCAGGATCTCCACGAGCGCTACAACAAGTACGGCAAGGAGGAGTGGGATTACTAAATGGTCATACAGCTACATAGAGGGTTATTAGGGGTTTGGTTGAGAGGCATCTCAACACTGGTCGCTGTATACTAAAATTACTGTGAAGAGTAGAGAAGCACTACGCATAGTACATCTTGACGGGAATCAATTGGAGACTGCTTTTGTGCATTACTAGGAGCTTCTGGGTGAATAGTGGTATACGTTAGGCCGTCGACCCTGTGGGAAGTAGTCATATACAAAGTCACATTTCGTTAGATCAAAGAGGGATAAAAAATTAGTCTCTGGAAAGGAAGTACAAGAGAAGAAGATGGTCAAGATTGACGATTGATAAAACAAAAGGAAAGGAAGAAAATTCGCGGTAGCAGAATGCAAAAACCCAAGATGCCTCGTTTCCGTTCACTAAAGGAGGTTAGTTAGTCGCCTCGTTCCCTTCACTGGCGGGCTTTGCTTCGGGAGAATTAGGCTCTGCAACAGAGCTTCCCCCCGCGGCCGAGGCGGGACCATTATCTGCAGCTTGTTTCTGCTTCCCAATAGTCTCGGGATTCTGACCCTCGACGTCTGGATGCGGTGGGGCTACTTGGCCATTAATCATTTCGACCTCATGGCCATGTTCCAAGCGAGTGCGAGTCTCATGGCGAGTCTCAAAGGATACTTTGCCCTCCTTAGCAAGGGCGGCAACAAGCTTCTCGTCCAAAATATTGCCATCCTGATCACGGTATTCAACCCGTGCCTTAGCACGAGGCGGCTGGGGCTCCGAGGTAACATTGGCATCTTCCGCTTCTTCCTGGGGGATTTGTTGGTCCTGCCGTGGTGGAGGGGCTACAGGGACCTCGGGAGGAGGTGCCTGTGTTGTTGGTACAGCGACATTGGTATTCGTAAAGTGGGTCACATATTGGCCAAGCTAATGTTTCCTTGTCAGCCGTCGTGATGTGACACGCTTAGTAGCCTCGTCGGGGAGGTTGCCATTTCGGAACACTTACGTCAGTATGGAAAGTGTTGCAGTCGAAGTCCCAGGTATCCAAAAGTTTCACCTTGCGGCAAGCGTCTTGAGTCCAGGGGTTGCCATAGACCAAAGGAGAATAGAGAGTGAAAGTGAAGATGCTCAGAGCGAGGAAAATACCAGCCAACGCCTTGCCAATGGCAGGCTTGGATGCTAGTCCAAGAGCACGGATACGGTTGGCAAGGAAGTCAAATTCTTGACACAAGGTGATAATGGCAAAGTAAAGCGCTGGAAGATAATGATGGAGAAAGAGCTGCCGAGCCATGAGGTAGAAGGGGAAATAATGGAAGGCCCATCCCAGGACACTTGTGCCAACCTCGTAGTCAAATCTTTTGAAATTGATGTTGCGGTAGTCGGCACAATTACGTTGCCAGCGAAGAATGGAGATTCCCTTAAATAGTACGTAGATGCCAATTGCCAATGTTGAGGACCACCAGATAAGTGGGTTGCCAAGGAGATAAATCTGGCGATGATCTGTGCCCCAGAAATTGATGCCACGGAGCAGCGTTGGCCACGATGGGGGTCGCGAATCCCATGCGTGAGACTCCGTCAATCCCGCATTGGTCGTCCACATCACCTTCTGGAGCTCCCAAAACTTGCCCAAAAACCCGGGATTTCGGTAATTAACCTTCTCTGCATCCGCCGGTAGCATTGGATGGCTGTTAGACTCGATGTACCAGACACTGTTGGGCAAAGTGCCTCCCTTCGCGCAGGTCACCTCTTGCTGCTCCCAACCCCAGTCGGGAAGTTTGACTTTGTGAGAGAACAGGACACAACCGGTCATGACATGCACCAACTTGAATTTGGACTGGATGGTCCTCAAACGCTTCTTTGCTTCTTCACCCTCTGACATCGACTTGACGATTTCTACGCGGAACATGTCATTCGCATCACCGGCAAAGCCCTCGAACCCATAGGCGGATACTTCATATTGCCAATCCGCCTCAGTCACAGGGGGGCGCTCGTCGTGCGAATGGACTCTTCTCTGAGTCATCAGGTGGTTCAATCTAATGATAGCACCATCTTCAATATACTCGGCGGTAATATTATCCCAGGCAAAAAGACCCGCGATTTCTCCGTCGGGACCAAGAGGTTGAGTCTGGTTCTCCGCAATAAAAATGTTGTTCTCGTCCTTGTGCGGATAGAGCGTAATCTGCTGTTGTTTGCTTCCCGTGGGGTACATATGGTTGTGAGAATGAAGGTAGCCACCCTGCGTATTAAGGTGGCGGAGACTGATACGGGAGCCGAAAGCAACATCAGCGGGGACATCTTGCATTGCCTTCGAATTCAATGTAGCCTGGAACTCAGACGACATAAACCCATCGCCCTCGCCCGGATTGACCAGACACAGGAAATGGATTGCAAACATTCCACAGTAGAAGCCCAATGGAACGACGATGAGGCAGAAGAACCGAGCAAAGAAATGCTTAAACCACAAGCGCTAAAAGGACATCAGCTAACAACTAGGCAAGGTTCGAACCCTCGAGCACATACCGGAGTGACATTTTTTGTATCCCCGAGGAGAACCCATAGTTGAATGATGGTTAGCGAGCCAACCCAAGCAACTGTGAAAAGGCCAACCCATTTGACACTTAAAGTAGCACCAAGACATAGACCAGTAGCAGCTAACCAAAACCACCAGGGTCCACGGAAGGCGTGCGATGGGCCTAGTTCTTGCTGGTTTGTGAAAGATGTGAATGACATGGCCGTAAGTGCAGTAAAGAACACCAGCGGTGAGTCCAAGAGGATTAGACGAGACTGGGTGACCAGGGCATTCTCTGTTACTTGGTTAGCGCGTGTGGGTATCCAGACCGAGAAAAACAGATCAACACACCAAATATCACCACACCAGCACCCAGCACGGCAGTCGTGGTGCGGCATCCCGATGCTTTCAACGTCAAGAACATCAAGGACACTGTAAGCACACCCATAATAGCTGGGAGCATTCGCATTGCCACATATGGGACACCTGCTTCCAGATAGTCCTTGCCGATTTCCTTGAAATCGAAATCGCCATTGAATCCAGCCAACCAACCAGCAAGTGTAAGGAGAAGTTTAGCAAGTGGCGGGTGAACATCCATGAAAAAGCGGCCCTTGATATATTTTGATGCAAAACCACCGAAACTGTGCATATATTGATTAGCCCAATGCGGGTCATCTCGCGCAATTACAGAGATATTAGGACATACTGGACTTCGTCGAAGACAACGCTTGTCGGCTGATAGATCCTAAAAAGACGGACAGCGGCAGCGACCAAGGTGACGAGAACTAGGGCCTTGTAGTCGGAAGTAGGAAGGCTGAAGATACTGTTGTCTTTAACTCCATCCGAGCCATAATTCAACGTCTCTGCGGGTGCCTTCTTGCGATTTTTCGGTCTCGGGGAGCGACTTGAGGAGCGGGTAGCCTTGGTTGGAGGCTGGACCTCCAGGGCGTTCTTGGATTTGGGAGGCATTTTGGCGCCAATAGGGTTAAAAGACTAGAGGTCGGAATAAAGGGATAGTATCAAAGGATATTAAAAAGGAACGAAGACCATCAAGAGATATCACAGATATGCGAGGAGGGTAAGCACGAGCTATGGAGGGCTCCGTGGAGCTTTCAACAAC